CGATGGCGGAGCCACCTCCTTCTTTTTCGCGGCAACGGTCGCTCCGGCAGCCGCCGCCTTACCCCGTGCCTTGCCCTTGGCAGGCGCGGAGGAACCAGCACCACTCCCTCCAGCCATAAAGACGACAAGAAAGACCCAAAGAAGAGTGGGGAAGAAAGAAAAAGAAAACTGTAGAAAGAAAGTACCTGGTACTCTTCCTCAGAAAATAACTCTAACAATGACTGGGTTACTGAAAACGATGACGGGGATTGTGAAAATGGAGACGAGAACGAACGGAAGCAAGAAAGCAAAGAGAACTATCGTACTCGAGAAGCCAAAGAGTGGAAGAAAGTAAAGTGAATGAGAAGTGACACGGGAGAGAGAAAGAAAAGGGTTTTTCCCCAAATTCAAAACGGTCACGGCACGTGTCAGCCAAAAGACACGCCTGATCACACATTAAATGAGGCCATCATTGCATAACCGTCGCGCCCATTAACGTGCCGGCCTCGGTTATCAAAATGAGAAGGCACCTTGACAGGCCAACGTACGCGAAAGGTCACTTCCTTCTAGCGAGCTCGGTCTTAACTCCTCGACCTACGGTCTTCAGAGCTCGGGGGGCTAATGTACTATCCGTACTGCGAAACCGAGCTCCGAGCTCGGCATCACAGTGCAAGATGACCTCGGGCACGCGCTACGCGACGTCAGCTCGACATTTAAGTAGATCATAACTGATCTCAGGGAATCTCGCTCCAGACGAGATCCATTATCTAATCTTATCATATCTCATCTCAGGCCCAGGGTCCAAAGCAACCCTAATTCACACTAAGGTACGTGCATTACTTATACGAGACTCATACTCATACAAACCCTAACTTTAGCATCGGAGTCTCTTTTGCAGGTACCACCCCCATCTTGGAACACAAACGTAGTCCAAAGCAACCCTAATTCACACTAAGGTACGTGCATTACTTATACGAGACTCATACTCATACAAACCCTAACTTTAGCATCGGAGTCTCTTTGGCAAGTACCACCCCCATCTTGGAGCATCAAGCGTACCAGCGAAGGAGGCTCACCAATCTTACTCGGAGGATCATCTCTACAGCAGATTTTCGGTAAGAACAATTAGTAATACATTTTTGACTCGTTTCATCTAAATTATGTATTATAGCATCTAAAAAAATGTTTATTAAGAACTTATAACCTAACTGAGTTTTGACCCACTTTTAGCTGAATTGTAGTGTTGGTATCCAGATTGTAACAGCTTCAGTATACTCCTTAACTATTTTAAATATTACCACCTTCCTTACGTTGTCAACGGTCACAACTTGTATGAATAATGTACACTTGTTGTACACAGTTACTGAATTCCAAACAAATATTCAAATTCCTTTAAGTATCAATGATCCATTCATATATGTTAAAAAAACCTATAAATATATAAACTCTGACGGGTGAATAATGTTATGTTGCAACGTCAACTTCTTATTTTAATTTTAAATTATGTGTAAAATTTAAACATTCTTTGACTTTTGCATCTATTTAACTCTAACTCGTCTCACTTTTATCTTCTGAAGTATCTGTACTAGCTATAAACAATTTATAATTATAAATTTATAATTTTAATTATTTTCTCATTGGATTACTTTTAAATTCTTTTCCTCATCTTTCTTTTAACTCCAACCTGTATAATTAAACTTGAACCTTCCTACTGTTGCCGTCATTTTCAGTAATAAAAAAAATCCCTCAACTCAATTTTATTATTCTCTAATGTATTAATTGTTGTCTCGAACATTGTAGAAGAATTCTTTCTACTATAATTTAAGTGGTTTCTGTCTTTGTTGCTGGATTGTTATACAAGAAGGAGCTGTTTTTGTTTCAACATTCTGGCTTGATTATGCTGGCATAATTTTGGTTTCCCAGGCTATTTTGTTGTTAGGACTATCTAACATATTATTAGATTTAAAATAATTTTTAAAGTAAGACTTTTTTTTTAAAATTAATAATAATATTTTTAATAAAAAATAAAAATATTTTAAAGATTAGTCTTAAAAAAATAATTACATTTATATATCTCTTAGAAATGGATATTTTAAAATGAAATTTTAAGAATGTAAAAGATGACTTTTAAATTATGGAACTTTAAAAAAAAATATATAAATATTAATATAAAGTAATTTTTTAAGTGACCCAAAGTGAACACTTTGTTGGTCTCATACTTGAACCAACCATTTTTGTTGTGTAGGCTGTATATGTGGTTTATCCGGGTGTATCTTCTGCCCTTTTGAATCTTTTTGGCTTAGCTTTATTGAATTTGAAACCAAGTCAAATAGATAATTAATTTTATTACAAGAGAGTTTTGTAATCGATTGTTACAACTTTACGTGTATTTTTATTTGCAATTGTCATACTAATATTCAAATTTAAAATTATATTATATTATTCGATGATGCTCCATTATTAGGTTTGTCCTAGTAATAATTTTTTTATGTGTAATTTATCATGTTGGATTAATTATTTCATTAATCTATATTTGTAGACTAATATTAATCAATTATTTTATTTGACAAGAATATTAATCAATTATTAAGAAATATTTTTTAATTATTAATGTATTAATAATAATCAATAACTATTGCTATAATTAACTCCTATTTATTCGATGAATATTGTTTTCAACTTTTATTTTGAATAGTTTGTGATGAGTTGTATTATTTAATTGATACTTAATAAAAGATTTGTGTATTAGTATAGATTATTTAGTTGTTATCTCATTAGATGATTAGAACCTATTATAATTGAGGGTAGTCTTCTCTTATTCAAAACAAAATCTTTTTTATATAAAGTATACAAATTTTATTCTCTCATTATTTTTATATTTAGTCAATGATATACTATAATTTTGTATTAGGATTAGGATTAGGATTAATAGTTTTATCAATTGTATTATTATAGGCAAATTAAGATCCTACGAGACCTGTATAACTTTTATATCAAGCATAATTGTTGATAACTAGTATAATTATTAAAATCCTAAAATTAATACTGAGTTAAAATAAATTAATAATTACACACAAATTTCCAATAACAACATCATTAAAAGTATTCTTTATTAAGTAACATTTAGGTAGTGTCACTCATTAACATGTCAATATTTCTTTATTTAATTTTAAATGACATGTTAATGTTAAACTAGTATATAGCCTAATTTTTAAAAATTCAAAAGGCCAAATATGCAATAAAAATCTTTAAAAGACCAAAATTACATATGTGATACTATATGAACAAATAATTGAAAAAGGAATCTTAACTCTTATAGTTAATAAAGGATATTTTTCTTAAGGAGTATTCATACAATACTTTCCTACAATATTTATTATATTATTATTTTTTGTTCTTCCTTTCTTTATATATCACGTTAATTATCTTTTTTTTTCATAACTTTCTAACTTAAGGTTATAGTAGAATAATTTTCTCAAATCATATTCTTAGAAAAATTTTATAAATTTTAATTTAAAGATTTTCTCTCTTAATTGTATTTATTCTTAATCTACAATCAATAAATTATCATTCAAGTTACAAATTATTTAAAAAAATTTAAATCCAATTTCTTACATTTTATACCATGTTCACAACATTGTTTGGGAAAAAAAATCAAATTTGACAATTAAATATATGTCACTGAATTTAGAAAATCTTACTAGATAATGTTACATAAATTTTATTCACACTAACGTAATGTTTAATAAATATTATCACAATAAAATAAATAATAATTTATATAAATTATATACATAAATAATTACAAAAAAGCTAGAATGTTACAACGTTACTCCTATTCTCTTATAATGTTTAATAAATATTTATCACAATAAAATATATAATAGTTTACATAAATTATATACATAAATAGTTACAAAAAGTTAGGATGTGACAACGTTACTTCTATTCTCTTATAGGCACTGTATTTTCTTCTTTTGCATTAGTTAAAGAGATGAGGTGTTATGTCTCACTTGTTTTCGTCTCCTTAAAGTGTTGTTCCTTCTACATATCTTTTCAATCTTTGGGTCATAATAAAGATCTGCGATTGAAGTTCTACCTTGCACAAACAAATTAGGAACTAGAAATGAACAAGTATGATCTAATAAAATAAAATATAATAAAAACAAAAACAAAAGAAAAAATGTTTGCAAAATTTAAAATCCTAAAATTAACACTAAATTAAAATAAATTAATAATTAGACCAAGTCCCCAACAATGATATCATTAAAAATCAGCATAATTAGGTAACAATAAGGTAGTATCACTCATGAACATGTCAATATTTTTTGTTTAATTTTAAATAACATTTAACATTAAACTAGTATGTAGCCTAATTTTTAAAAACTAAGAATGCCAGATATGTAATAAAAATCTTTAAAATACCAAAATTATATATGTGATACTGATAAGAACAAAAAATTGACGAAGGAATCTTAACTCTAATCGTTAATAAATGATATTTTTTTAAGGAAAATTCATACAATACTTTCCTACAATATTTATTATATTGTTATTATTATTATTTGTTCTTTCTATCTTTATATATCACGTTAATTATCTTATTTTTTACTCCTCGTTTCCCTTTCATATCTGCCTGATGTAAAAATTATTTTACTGTTTCTTTGTACATGTTTTTTTTTTATATATATTTTTTAAAGAATCTCAAGACTAGTTGGTTTGACCCCACTTTCTAAGTGGTACAAAACAGTAACAATTTCAAGTCATCCACAAGTGAGAATAAGTACTTATATATTAATCTACACTCCCAAAAACTACGAGCCCTCTAGATCCTTCATTGCCATGCAAATGGGTACTCCCTTAGATTTGATTTCCAAGCCACGTTCCCACCGTCTACAATGCATTAATTCTCGCTCCTCTTGCATGCTTAAACCGACACCCCCTTCCTCAATAATTCCTCACACCCGTTTATGCTTCCTCTTAACTTCACCCCCATGAGCCTATTTATTCCAACACCAACACACCACTTCCACAATCAACCAAAACCTCAACCCCCAATATTTGTAAAACCCCTTCAACATGTCAACCCCACCAATGTCGACCTTTCTTTTCATCTTCTCCCTCTCCCTCCTTGTGCCACTACTCCTAGCTCAAGCTCCATCACCATCACATGCCCCTCCTCCTCTTAAACAATCACCATCTCCAACACATGTTCCACCTTCTCCTCCTCTTAAACAATCATCATCTCCAACACATGCTCCACCTCCTCCACCTCCTAAACAATCACCATCTCCAACACATGCCCCTTCTCCTCCACCTCCTAAACACTCACCATCTCCAACACATGCTCCTCCTCCTCCTCTTAAACAATCACCATCTCCAACACATGCCCCTTCTCCTACTTCATCACCATCATCAACACATGCCCCTCCTCCTCCACCTCTTAAAGCTCCTACTCCTCCTCCTCCACCTTCATCACCCTCTTCAGCATGCAAGTCCACACTATATCCAAAACTATGCCGCTCCATTCTCTCCTCCATCCGTTCCTCCCCCTCAGACCCCTACAACATGGGCAAATTCTCCATCAAACAAAGCCTCAAACAAGCCAAGAAACTGGCCAAAGTGTTCGAGGACTTCCTCAGAAAACACAAATCCTCTTCCCTCAACAACGCGGCAATCGCAGCCTTGGAGGACTGCAGCGAGCTCAACCAGCTGAACGTGAACTACCTGGACTCGGTTTCGCAAGAGCTAAAGTCCGCAAACTCCTCCAACGCAGAGTTTGTGGAGAAGATCGAAACCTATCTGAGTGCTGTGGCCACCAACCACTACACTTGCTATGATGGGTTGGTGCTGGTCAAGAGCGACATTGCCAATGCACTCGCGGTGCCTCTCAGCAATGCCACCAAACTCTACAGTGTGTCGCTTGGCTTGGTCACGCAGGCTCTCAAGAAAAACCTCAAGAAGCATAAGACACGCAAACATGGCCTGCCCACACAGGATTACAGGGTCAGGCAGCCACTTAAGAACCTCATTAAGGTAACTTAACTCATTTCTCTCTCTCTCTTTTTTTTTTTTTCAGTTCCCGAAGTATCTACCATCAATAGCCGTGACTAATCTCCTCACTACGTTGGAGGCACCTCAAAGAATGAGATAGTTAACCTCAAGATTTAACGCGGCTGTATATACAAGGCAGGACTAATCTGCTTTAGTTCAACACATCTTAAATATTTATTATATATGTAATTAAAATTAAAAATAAATTATGTTAATAAACAAATATTAAATTTAAATACACAAATTATATTTAAATTTTAAATATATATTAGATTTATGATAAATAACTTAGATTATATATAGTATTATCTAGTGATAATTTATTTTAAAAACATAAATAAAAACTAAATTATATTAAAGTTAAAAAATTCTAAAAATTTACTCTTTTAAAAAATATTCATAATTGTTCATATTTTAAATATAAATATTTATTAATTTCTTTAAAATATGCTTAAATAAAATTTTTAAGAAAAAAAAATTGAAATAAATTTATTAATAAGTTAAAATTATTTTATATATGAAACCAAAATAAGATTTTGCTGAAACTAAAAAATCTACATGTTAAGTTAACTTTAATTTATAGAAAAGTTTAATTCACTTTTTTAAAAATATTTTTGTAAAAAAATCTATCAAACAAATTCTTTTTGGTTGGCCGGATTCTTTCTACTTTTGGTTATGTTGATTTTTATTTTACTTTCCTCCGTTTTTATTAGTTTACTTGCGTTGTGCCGACAATTTCTATTTGGACTTCGATGATGCGGTTAGAATAAGTAACCTAATTAAACATTTATTTGAGGTAAAAAAAACAAAAATCATTACAAGTAGCACAACAAGTTAAGATTGAAATTTTTCTGTCGCCGACATCTATTTATAATTTTTATATATTAAATATATAACCGTATGAATAACAACCCTATATATAATTTATTAAAATAATCCATTGATATCTACTTGAACTTTTAGTTTATATATATCAAAATATATCAAGAAACAAAGCCTCATAATAGGGCTGTCAACGGCATACGAATAATAGCTCATTTGTCGGATAAATATTCAATTCGTATCTACTTCTATATATTTATTTATTAAGTAATTATTTGTGTAATTTTTTAATATTTGTGAATATTTCAGGATATTTGTAGATATTTATATTTTAAAAAAATTAATTTTTAAAAATTATTTTGATAATAATTTTAATTTAAAAATATTAGTTTAAAAATAAAATATTAAATTATTATATATTATATATAATTTTATTAATCAAGAATCTATAATTTAAACATTAAATTTAATTATTTAAACATTTTATTCTCATAAATTTAAATAAATTTAATATATAATAATATAATTTAATATTAGTAGATATCTATAATATTATGATACTCGTATAAGTTCTACTATCATGTAAGTATAAAAAGTATTTATACTCATTACTTGTTGATAGTTATTTATAATATTTATTTTTTACTTATTACGGATTTTATCAACATATATATGCGTTAAGGATGTTTTTTTTTACATCCCTACTCATGTGTTTCAAATTTCATCAATGATGAAGCCCTCTCTTTATCTCTGTAGTCAAAATCACAAATACCCCCTGCAATAATTTTGTTAATGAACTAAAATCATTTGCTTAAATAAAAGAATATTCCACGTGGTCTCATGCATGATAAAGCTGAACTCTTGGTCAGACAATAAATTATAGAATTTGTGAGTCCCGGCCGGCTACTTTCCGCTTTAATAATACTATTTTAACATCGTAATTCACAACTTTTTTCATAGAATAAGAAGAAAAATATGAAATATATCGTAAAAAAAAAATTACAATATTGTGAAAGATTTTTTCATTTCATTAAAGTGAAAGATTTAAAAGTCAAACATTAAGAATGTCAACCAGATCCAAGGATTAGTTGGTTCAGCTCAACGAGGTTGGTTTTAAAGTTTTAACTTGTGATAATAACTTGATGATCATGCCACGTGGGTACTTGTTTGTTGTGCCATTAATAATACACCATGCACGTGCAACTAGAGAGTACCCCACCTATCATCTTCTCTTCTCATGTACCCCATGCCATTTTATATACCTCGTAGTATTGAAGGTCTTTGGTTGTTTCAATGAAAATGTTTGATTTAATTGTATTTTTAGTTTTTTAGCTTAGATATTGTATATTTTAAATCTCTCAAGTTCTTTTAATTCTCTTTTTGCTTTAAAATAAAGATAATTATATGTAACGTACGTTACATATGGTATACGTCAACTTTTGACATTGAATAATGGAATTGCTTATTGATATATGAATTTTAACATGTACAAGTTTGATATATATATAGATGAACACATGCATGCATATTTCTATTGTTATATTGCTCAACCATGCTGGTGAGAAGTTAAATTTGTATGTAGCAAAGACACATAATTTTATTTCATGAAAAAAATTATAACACATAATTTGTTGTATTGAAATTTTTATATGCAATGTATTTATAGTCAAACATGTAGTTTATTTTTAATTGGAAGGCTATAAATTGAAACATTACTTTTTGCTCAGCTTCTTCGCACAAAGTACAGTTGCACATCATCCAATTGCACTAGAAGTGAAAGGATTCTTAAAGAAAGTGAGAACAAAGGGATTCTACTAAAAGAGTTTGCGATTGTGAGCCTTGATGGCAGAGCCAATTTCACTTCCATTGGAGAGGCTATTGCCTCTGCACCCGATTTTTTAAGGCCAGAAGATGGCTATTTTCTCATCTATGTTAGAGAAGGAAACTATGAGGAATATGTTGTTGTTCCCATTCAAAAGAAGAATATCTTGCTTATTGGTGATGGTATCAACAAGACTTGCATCACTGGAAACCACAGTGTGGCAGATGGTTGGACCACTTACAATTCTTCAACCTTTGGTAAGTAAATTAGTATTCCTACTTTTTTTTTTTTGAAAATTCAATTTATAATATTTTTTTAGAGGAGGAATCCGTTATTACTTCGAGAATAAGTCTATCTAAACTTATTTCATTCAATAACTCATGTTCTACATCAAATTTTAACGATCTAACCATTGAATTAAAAAATTTTAATGCACAGATCAAATATGTAAATTTTTAAAAAAAATTAAAATTCATTTGATATTTCTTTTCATTAATTTAAATTATGGATAATAATAAAATCATTTTATACATTGATTTGAATTAATGAAACGAAGAATCAAATAATTTTCAAATTTTTTAAAAATTTACAGATTTAATCTATGCATTAAGAACTTTAAATTTAACAGTTGAATTATTAAAATTTAATGTAAAACATAAGTTAAAGTAGACTCACTCTTAGAGTAGACGAATCCCTCCTCTTCTTTTTAATATATATATATATATATATATATATATATATTATTGAATTCTTCATTTTTACAATTGTTGTAATTTTAGGTTCCAAGTTAGTAAAACTGAAAAAAAATTATTATTTTTGTAATGATTACAAGCTGTCATAAATTAACATTAAGATTCAATTACATAGATCGGCCGGGTAAGATGAAAGGCGATGGATTACATTTATTTTTTAATTTATGGACCTAATTAAAAATCCCAAAAAAAAAAAAATGGGGACCTACTAATTTGTTAAATCATATTAAAAATATTATATATTTTGGTCTAATCATAATGCCATGTTAAGAGTTTGACTAAGTCAACACAACAATTAATGATCGTGTTATATCAACAGTGGTCAAAATTAGACTTTTCTTGATCCATACTGGACATTTTTAAACCATTTTCTTTTGTCTCTTTGCTATAATAATATAAAACAAAATCATTAATCCTGATTCCTGAGCATTCACTCATTGACAGAAGCTTTATTTTAACAATATGTTAATAAAATAACACAAGGTGTTAATTTTACCATCATGTTTTTTTTTCTTCTAATGATGAATGGAAAGTGTCAATTAGTTCTTCAATGAGTCTAATGTGATGCAACATTTTATATGTTGAATGCAGCTGTTTCCGGAGAAAGATTCGTTGCAGTGGATGTTACATTCAGAAACACAGCAGGCCCTCAGAAGCACCAAGCAGTAGCTGTGAGGAACAATGCAGACCTCTCCACATTCTACCGTTGCAGCTTTGAAGGATACCAAGACACTCTCTATGTTCACTCCCTCAGGCAATTCTACAGGGAATGTGACATTTATGGCACTGTGGATTTCATTTTTGGCAATGCTGCTGTGGTGTTCCAGAGCTGCAACATCTATGCCAGAAAGCCACTTCCAAAGCAGAATAATGCTATCACAGCACAAGGGAGAACTGACCCCAATCAGAACACTGGAATTTCAATACAGAATTGCAGGATTGATGCTGCTCCTGACTTGGCTGCAGACTTGGATTCAACAAAGAATTACTTGGGCAGGCCATGGAAAGTGTATTCAAGGACTGTGTTCATGCAATCATATATTGGAGAACTGATTCAGTCTGCTGGATGGTTAGAGTGGAATGGCACAGATGGATTAGACACCCTCTTTTATGGTGAGTTTGATAACCATGGACCTGGGGCTGATACCAGCAAGAGGGTACAATGGAGTGGTTACAATCTGTTGACTGCTACTCAAGCTTGGAACTTCACGGTGCTTAATTTTACTTTGGGGAATACATGGCTTCCGGATACAGATATACCCTATGTTGAAGGACTTTAGATTAGATAAAGGAATTTAATTTTACAATGGAGAAAAAATAAATTTGATTCACTATTTGTTAATTAGATGTGATGTAACTATATCATTTTTCTGTTTGAAAATCTTTCAAAAAGGAGAGGATGCAATTCAAAAGGGTCATGTGATGAATGTTTGGATGCAATTCAAAATTTTATATCTTGAGATAAAGTTATCATTATTGATTATTTAGTTGCATTTGAATAATTTGCTCCGTGACGAGGCTGTTATATCTGGTTAATTATCAATGTAACATGATTACCGTTAACATGGCACAGCACTTTTGTTTCATTCTATTTCCATATCAAGCTTGAACTCAAGTTGTTATATCGAAGTTTGTAGCTAGAAATAATCTACTTTAATGTACTCATCATCAATCTATGACATAGTATTAAAAAGAGATTCAAAGAGAGAAAAATATATAGATTGGTGCAGACATAGTATCAAAATGGGTACTGGTAATGGTAAGTGGTATGTATAATGCCTCTAGTAGGTTCAAAGATCTTCAAAAGATGCCTCAAATAAAATCAATTAATATAATAAAAGGCCAAAAGATAATGGGAAAATTAGAAAATATAACAGACACATTTGACAAAAGAAGGTTTGAATCATATGTTGTGTTGTATGTGTATTATCACATAGAAGATTTAAAGGGGGCACCCGAAGCTGGAATCCATCTGTCCCCTGAAAGAAAAGCCTTGACAGTAAACGCGCTAGCCTGTTTAGTTGAAATGGTTTTCACACCCTTCCACTTCACCCTATTCTTTGTTGAAGAACCTGGTCCAACATTCTGAAATTCTGCATAAAATATGGTATCTGGTGCTGAGTCCCCTACCCAAGGTAACCATCCATTTGGGTGAATGAAACTGCCCAATGTGGATTGCATAAACACTGTGGTTGAGTAATTCTTCCAGGGTCTTCCAAGGTATGTTTTAACAGAACTTAGGTTCCCAAAGGGTGCAATGTTACAATTTTGAATTGAAATTCCGGTGTTCATGTTGGGGTCAGTTTTGCCCTGTGCTGTTATGGTGTTCTGCTGACCCTGCATAGGCAACCTTGGAAAAATGTTGCAGTTTTGGAGAACAACTGCTGAGTTGCCAAAAATGAAATCAACTGTGCCATAAATATCGCATTCTCTGTAGAATTGGCGGTTGGAAAGAGCATAGAGAGTGTCCTGAAATGCATCAATGTGACACCTGTAGTAAATTGCTTGATCAGCACTTGTCATCAGTGCCACTGCTTGGTGCTTCTGTGGACCAGCTGTATTCCGAAATCCCATGTCCCTAGCAATGAAATTCCTCCCAAAAACAGCTGAATTGCACCAAACAAAGATGTTACCACCCAAATGTGTTTAAAAGTAATATTGACTATAATCAAAAGGCTTTAGGTATACTTTTGTTCCCCCAAGTATGTAAAACATAAACAAAGCAATTTTAGTCACTCCCTCCCTCCTCAGGACAAATGCTTTAACTAAACAATAAAAACAAAAATTAGTTGACTACATGATGTGTGTTTATAGTTTAAAAAACTAAACAATAATAGCAAATTAATGCTTTAACTCACTGGGCGAAGTCAGCTATATAGATCACACTATCATTTGACTCGGTTAAAGACTAAATTTTTTTTTAAGAGATCTATATTCATACTGTTGTGTTATAATCAGTCCGGATAAAGTAGGAGGGTTGTGTCTTATTTTAATTTCTATACATATTATTTTTGTTTCCTTTAATTGGTATAATTTCATAAACTTTACCTTTCAGTTTATATGATAAAAGATGATAAGGACTAAAATGAAACGAGTTTAACTATTAGAAAAGGTAAAGATCATGAAACTATAAGGACCATAAGGATAATGAAATATTTAGAATTTTAAGGAACTAAAATCATCTTTAAGCTTATTTTCAACATAATGAAAGGTGTTACATACCGAATGTTGCAGTTGAAAATGTTGGGGTGCCATCCACAAAGTTAAGGCTTCCGGATACAATAGTGGCGCTCATACCATCACCAACGATCATGACATTCCATTTGGTCTTCTCCACCCTCACATTTTCATTATAAACCCCCTTCTTCACATAGATCACTGTCCTCTTGTCACTTTTCTCAGGGACATGTTTAAGTGCTTCAGTAATTGTCTTAAATTTTCCACTTCCATCTTTTGCTACAACAATGTCAGCTTTCCTCTTCAAATCGTTTGTTTGAAGCAGCTTCCGGTCTTTAGAATGAAGCCACTTTGGTTCTTCCATCTTATGTGGTGAAGTACTCAACAAGCGCCTCAAGTTCACACTGCTTGCAACCTTGTTAAGCCATGTAACGATGGCAAGACTGTTACTGGTGAACTCTGTAGAATTTTTTAGATTGCTTATGACACTGCTTTTCAGTGATTCTTCTGCCTTTTCAAAGCCATCAATGCAGGTTTGATGGTAAGTACCTGTTTCAGCACAGGGAAACATTGTATTAAGAGAGAAATGTTATATTTATATAATTATTCTCTATTTTATTATTATTATGGATTAACATTAATTAATAAATTATATTTATATGTTAATATTAATTATATTGCACATTATTATTAATCTATGAGTAATATATATTGGGATTCCAATGAATGGTCTGTGATGGGTTGGAATATTCAATAGCCCGTTGAGAGGTTCCTGGTCTCTACTGGTAAGGATATAGAACTGGTATCTCATTAGTCAGTTCTCATAGTGAAAAACATTTTTGTCTTCTGCCTTTTCACCTCCTATCAGGAAAAGAGCAGTCTTCTCTCACATTGTTCAATATTAATAAGAATAGATCCTTAATTAATTCCGAGTACGCAATTCTTTCTAAACCTTGCTCGAACATACTATAAAATTGTACCTTATATATTATTTATTTGAGTAATCACTATGAATTTCTTTCAAGAAATTCTTTTAGAATTAGTTACTCTTTTAGTTAAGTATGATATAGTTAGTTACTTGCTCATATAGTGCCCATTAGTTAGTATGAATTGAATAAGAGCACCATATATATTTATTTTTCAATCAATTCAAAAAGTTGAGGATGAGTATCAATCTATTCTTTATCGCTCTTATGAGTTTGATCTTCATCCTTTGCTTCATGTATTTGTAGCACAATTAATGATCTTCAAATATTCAATAATAATGCTTCTTTTTATAGTTTTTGTGGTAGATTATCAAGGAAAATAACTATCCTACTATAGGATACTTTTTTTTTCTTTTTTTTTTTTTTAAATGTCACCGGTGTTTCTTTTTTTCTTTTTATTTTTAGAAGAAACAGTGAATATAACAGAAACACAGTTTTTTATCTTCAGTTCAAATATTTAAAAATAAATGTAAAATATAATGATGTATTGTTACTATTAATAAAAGTAAGAAATGAAAGAAAAAAAATGCATTTCCTCAAAGTCATCATTAAATAGGAAAAGGATGAACTATAAGAGTAGTTATTACCGAAATAAATATAATAATAGAAATGCTAACAAACTTACTCTTGTCGGAAATTATAATTCTTGTAAATTTTATTACTTATTCAATGAATTTTCTCTATAATTTTTTTAGTTTTTTTATTTATAAATTTTAACTAATAATTGAATGTGTTAAAAGGTGTGATGATAATGATAACATGACCAGCATATGCCATGAATCACTAAACCAAATAACTTTCTAGTGGGGTCAAAGTCAAAGTGTGAAATCAAAGTATATAAGACATGAAAGTTTCAACAAGCACAATGCTTATATATAAACAGTACCTGCAGCACTCAACCATGTTCTAAGATCCTCAATCACATCAAGCAATGAAGACTTCCCCCCAGAAGCCAAGGAGCCATTCAGATGATCAACCGCAAGACCCAAAAGATCCACGCAGTTTCTAAAACCCTCCTTGGTCCTGTTATCAACATTCAACCCACTCAAAAACCCCTTCTCATGATCATCATCAGAGAAATACTTAACAACCCTCGAAGCCTCAGCCAATGCCACTTCAACAGATAACAAGAACAGCTTCTCAGGTCGAACCTGACCCTCGTGCACCAGAGGACCGAGGCTGCTATAACACGCGTCCGTGTAAAGTGTCACGTCACAAACAGCCTTCACCGAGTTCGAAAGAAAAGGAGCACTGGTTCCATCGTTTGAGTCGTTGTTGTTGTTGTTGTCATGTGCATTGTTGTTGTTGTTGTGAGCAACGGTTCCAAACACAGCACCGCACACGACACCAACGAGGACTACTGTGGACAACGCTATGATGGTGATTCGCTTTCGTGTCTTGCGGCGAACTTCGAACATGGCTTGGTCGGATTCCTCAACTTTGCCATAAGAGTTCAAGAAAGACATTGTACAAGCTATAGCTTCTTGTGATATTATTAATAATAATAATAGGTTTGTGAAAGTGTGTGTATATATAATACGAGTTGAAGTTAATTTGTTGTGATATATATGAATGTGTATTGTTTCGTAGGGTATATGAGTTGTGATATATATATATATATAT